GCCGGCGACGACGCCCCGCGCGCCGTCTTCCCCTCCATCGTGGGGCGGCCCCGGCACCAGGTGGGTACCCAGGGGGGTGAGGGGCAGCCCCCACCCTGCCCCAACCCCTGCAATGAGGGTAACGAGGCCTCGTCTCTCCTGCTGGCGTTAGGGTGTCATGGTGGGCATGGGGCAGAAGGACAGTTACGTGGGCGACGAGGCGCAGAGCAAGAGGGGCATCCTCACGCTCAAGTACCCCATTGAGCACGGCATCATCACCAACTGGGATGACATGGAGAAGGTGAGACCCCCAGCCCCGGGACGGGGAGAGGGCGCCAGCCCCAGCTCGGGTGAGGCCCCAACTGTCCTTTGCCTGCCGTAGATCTGGCACCATTCCTTCTACAACGAGCTGCGCGTGGCCCCCGAGGAGCACCCGACCCTGCTCACCGAGGCCCCCCTCAACCCCAAGGCCAACCGGGAGAAGATGACGCAGGTGAGGTGCTGAGGGGCCCCCGGGGGTGGGGATGGACCCTCGGAATCCACAGGAAGGTCTGGGGGGTCTGGGCGTTGGGTGGGGTGGAGGAGCAGGCGGTGGGGGCGGTTTGGTGTGGGATAAGGGCAGAGATCCTGGTGGGAAGTTCAGTTGCTTATGTAGCCCCAGGGGTCTCTCCAGAGCGTGGCCCTGTGGGATTTGCCACGCAAGGCACTGCCCCACGTGCTGTCCACACCATGCACAGCCCCACATGACTCTAATGCAGTGACTCACATTTCCATGGGATGTGTTGACCCACGTTTTCCCACACCACACACCCACTCACATGTTTTCCACGCATTTTCCATGATCCACTTGTTGTGTTCAATGCACTGACCCCCATGTCCATGCAACCCAACCATCCACCTGTTTTTCCATGCAACGCAGCAATCCCTGTGTTTTTCCATGCCTTGCACTGCCCCACATGTCCGTGCCATCCAACCATTCACTTGTTTTTCCACGCAACGCAACCATCCCTGTGTTTTTCCGTGCAGTGCCCTGACCTCGGGAAGGCACAGCCCCCGTGGGTCAGGGTGGGACCCCCGTGCTCCCCCCTAACCCTCTCTCTCTCCTTCCCAGATCATGTTTGAAACCTTCAATGTCCCCGCCATGTACGTCGCCATCCAGGCCGTCCTCTCCCTCTACGCCTCCGGCCGCACGACCGGTGAGTCGGACACACCTTTCCCTGGGGTTCATCTGTGGTGGGGAATGCACCAAACCCCCTCAGAGCCCCCTCCCTCACCTCCCTTCCCTCCCCAGGCATCGTCCTGGACTCCGGGGACGGCGTCACCCACAACGTGCCCATCTACGAGGGCTACGCGCTGCCCCACGCCATCATGCGCCTGGACCTGGCGGGGCGGGACCTCACCGACTACCTCATGAAGATCCTGACAG